ATGCTCTAATCCAAGAAAATATGACTGAGTCCATTCTTGTGAAGCAGAATTGCCCAGGAAGCCCACAGACTCATGAGAAATAATAGAAATTTGTTAAACAATAAATAACTGGAAAAAAAGAGCTGGATCCAGTTCTTTGCACAACCTCAGGCAGGTGTTGCTAGTGTGTACTGATCGGCGCTCAGCTGAAGACCTCTGGAGGGCCCTTTGTAGATCTCTGGAGCTCTCTCTGCTGCATTTTGCTCTCCGGCACGCTGTCCACCTGAACTCCTTCAGTGCCTCAGTCTCCCCAGCCTCTCAGCTTCATCTCCTCAACTCAGAGAGAGCCTGTCCTGTCCCTCCTGGGCATGCTGAGTTCAAGGTGCCTCTTACCATACTAGTAGAGATTCCTTGAAATGCTGTCTGGAAGAGTTCCCTTATAGACAAACTCGTGGAATTCATAACTCAGAAAGTGGAAACTAAACATTGTGTGTCCTCACTTATAAGTGGGAGATAAGCTATGAGGACGCAAAGGCATAAGAATGATGCGATGGACTTTGGGGATTCATGGGGAAGGATGGGAGGGGGATGAGGGATAAAAGACACATTGGGTCTGGGCACGGTGGCTCACGCCTGTAATCCCAGCACTTTGGGAGGCCAAAGTAGGCGGATCACCTGAGATCAGGAGTTCAAGACCAGCCTGACCAACAACGTGAAACCCCGTCTCTACTAAAAATACAAAAATTAGCTGGGTGTGGTGGTGAGTGCTACTTGGGAGACTGAGACAGGAGAATTGCTTGAACTCGGGAGGTGGAGGTTGCAGTGACCAGAGATTGCACCACTTTACTCCAGCCTTGGCAATGGAGCAAGACTCTGTCTCAAAAAAAAAAAAAAAGAGAAAAAAAGGACACATTGGGTATAGTATACACTGCTTGGGTGATGGATGTACCAAAATTTCAGAAATCACCACTGAAGAACTTATACATGTAACGAAATGCCACTCGTGCCCCAAAAACCATTGAAAAAAAAAATCCTGGACTTCAATTGTCCAAGGTGAGTCAAAGACTGAGGCAAATCTCCTATGGAATGGGCAGGTTGTCTATCAGTGAATTGCCTTTTCATCTGGGATCTGATATTGGGATCAAATTGGCATCTGTAACTCCTCACATTATTTCAAGTACTGGGTCTTTGAGCCACAAAACTTTGCTAGCTAAAAATAAATACGAAATAAATAAATAGGTGATTCTGATAATTCCTTGTTTAAAAAGTACATGTACCACCTAAGAGATTTTACTGTGCCCTGTGAGCTGCATTGTTATTTGTTGCTAATAGTAGCTGAAGTACTGACATTGATGAATGGTAGGCTTTTCAAAATATTAGTTCCATGTAGTTAGTGCGTCCTTTTAATAGTAACACTCACTCATCAGCTTCTGTGTTAGCCAGAACTCTTGCTGGAAAATCATGGAAGTCAACTGAGAGTAGTTTAAGAAAAACTTTCACAACAAATCCCTCTACAGAAAGGAAATTGAGAGGCTGTTTAGCTGAAAAGCCTAAGAGGAAGGGCCTGATTCAGTCTTCAGATCTCTCTCTCCTTTCCTGTAAATTCTGCTTCCTTCTCCCTATCTTCATTTTCCGACTGGTGGGACCAGATTTATGCCAGCCTTAAGGTTTTGATCTCCAAATAAATAAATAAAAGAATACTTAATCTGATATCTCTGGCAAAGTCCTGGAGAGGGGAATCTCAGGTGGCTAGGTTTGGGTGCCATGCTCCTCCTTGGTGTGGGGTCAGAAAAGGGTAGGCCCACAGGGTCATGTGATTTCAGCAGGATTCCTGTGGAGTGGGGCTTTTCATCCTTGGCAACATTGCTACTCTGGGGTGGATGATTCTTTGCTGTGGGGCTGTCCTGTGCATTACAGGATGCTTAACAACCTCCCTGGTCTCTACCCACTGAGGTACCAGTAGTTCCTCTCTCCTTTCCCTATAGTTGTGACAATAAAAAATGTCTCTAGATGTTGCCAAATGTCTTCTGGTGGGCAAAATTGCCCCCATTAAGAAGCACTTCTATGAAGCAAGAGTACCTTTCCTTGGGTAGAGATGCTGGACAAGGCAGGGTGGGGTGGCTCACGCCTAGATTACCAACACTTTGGAAGGCTGAGGCAGGGGGATCACTTGAGTTCAAGAGTTGAAGACCAGCCTGGGGCAACATGATGAGACCTTGTGCCTACTAAAAAAAAAAAAAAAAGAAAAAAAATAGTCAGGTGTGTTGGTGCATGCCTACAGACCAGCTACTTGGGAGGCTGAGGCAGGAGGATTGCTTGAGCCCGAGAGATGGAGGCTGCCGTGTGCTATGACAGTACCGCTGCACTCCAGCCTGAGCAACAGAGTGAGACCCTGTCTCAAGAAAAAAAGAAAAGAAAAGGAAAAAAAGAGATACTGGGTAGGAATACAGGCCCAACACCAAAGTCAATGTGTTTTCTGAGTGAAACAGAAGGAGGTGGACCTACAGATGCAATTTGTTACTGTATCATGAACAATTTCAGTGGCAGTAACTTAGCGCAGTGCTTTAATTTCACAAAATAATTTTGAGGGAGGATTCATAAAAACTGGGAATTACCTGTGAAAATGTGAGATTCATATAAGTGTCATAGCAGAACTGGAATAAATGAATACTCCTGGTGTCATGATGAAAACTATTGACTAAGACCGTGTCTGATTTGTTTTCTGCTATATTATTCTGATTGTGTTATTTCATAACACAATCCTTGAAACTGGGCGATTTATAAGAAGCAAAATGTAGTTTTGCTACAGTTCTGGAAGCTGGTTGAGGAGAGTCATCTGGTGAGAGCCTTCTTGCTGATGGGGCCTCTGCAGAGCTGTGAGGCTGCACAGGGCATCACATGATCACATGACATGAGGGCTGAGCATTGCTGCTCAGGTCTCTCCTCTTCTTATAAAGACACCAATTCCACTCTCATAATAACCCATTAATCCATGAAAGAATTAATTTATTAATGCGGACAGAGCACTTGTGACCCAATCACCTCTTAAAGGTCCAACCCCTCAATACTGCCACACTGGGGATTAAGTTTCAACAAGAGTTTTGGAGGTGACAAACATTCAACCCAGAGCAGACTAAACACCAAGTTTTGGCTCAATATTGTACTAGGTACATGACCATTCTTAAATTATTGAATCTTTTAAATCATTGGTTTCCTCTAATATAAAAGATGACTCATGACGTCAGGCATCCAATTGCTGATGTATGTGAAACTGTGAAGTGTTGGCAAATGGAGTATTATTTAAACATATTCTTCAATCAGTTGAATATGAAAGCTACTTGGATGAGTTCTGATTTTTTTAGAATCAGAAAATTTCCGCCTTTCCTTCCTTCTTCCCTCCTTCCCTCTGTCCCTTCCTCCCTCCCTCCTTCTTTTTTCTCCCCACCCTCCTCCCTCTTTGGCTCTTCTTTTCTTAATTTTTTCTTTCCTTTTCTTTTTGGCTTGTTGGTCAATGTAGAGATGCCAGTGTTGCAACAAAGAAGTTGCTTTTATTTTCTAGTATGTTTCAAGAAGCAAAAAAAAAAAAAAAAAAAGAAAATTGCTTGCTTGATTTATTACCAGTTTATTGTGCTGTTAAAAATTTAAAAAAAAAAAAAAGGAAAAGAAAGAAAAACATTTCCAGTTAATTGAGCTAACTGGTGGGTGAGAGGCAGAGGAATGATACCATCCTTACCAAGGCAGATACTATGTCCCAAGAGCACACGTATGTTCTCAACCTTCTGGCTGGGTTCCACCTTGGTAATAATCCAACCAGTTAATTCAGTGGGATTTAAGCTTCTGGTCTTTGTCTGAACAAATTAGAAATTGCCAGAAAATGTTACAACATAGTGTAGATTCCAGTTGTAGTGAAGGGTAGACTATACCCTAGAAACAAAACAAATGACCTAATCCACTGTCAGATGTGGGGGCTTTATGATTCATCTCTTAAAAGAGAGTTATGGTAGGGCTTACTTCCCAAGTGAAGGAAAGAAAATGGGCTCTTCCATCGAATCCAGTTGTAGGAAAATTTTGGAATGTCACCTTGTAGAGTAAACGTTGCTTGCCTCTTAGATTAGGTCTGTGATTTATTATGCAAGATCTCCTTTAGAGCTTTTAGTAAAGAATGCTGTATTTGTTCCTTTTCTGTTTGTAAAAATAGGCATTTGGGTGTGACATCCCTTAGGGTGATCGCTGTCAGTGGATTATTTTTCATATTCTTGTGTCAATTCTAAAAAATCGCTGAAATAAACACATGTTTCTCAACCAGTTAAATATCTCCTAAAAGATGCTTTCTTCTCTTTAGTGGGAAGCTCTGGATACTTCGCAGAAAAAAAAAAATCTGTGCTCTTTAAGTTGGAGAGTCCACGCTGATATTCATCACAATTTACATTAGAATAGTACAAACTACAGGAAACCATAGAGAGAGTGGGGGGTGAAATTTTTATTATGTGCTGGGCGAGGAGGCTGAGTGTTTATAGTCTGGGAACGGATACTAGCAGAAGGTTTTCTGTTGCTGTTAGGGAGAGCTCACATTCCCTTCCCTCCCACTCACCGCCATCTACAGCTCAGCTTTGGAGTCAAAATAACACTCTTGCTACATTTAGTAGGACTAAGATTTTTTTTCTACCTTTGGCATATTCCTACAGCTGGAAATTAGGGAAGCAAGGAAGCTGTTGAATACCGTTCTAGCTAAGCACGTTCATCGTATTCTTTGTCATCTTCCTTTGGAGTTTCTGTTTTGCTCTGCTGTAAGGACCGATTTCCTCTCTAATGATATTTTCATAGGACCCTGTTGTTTGAATGTTTGTTTCTGGACCGTTTGAGGTTTCCTTTACTGGTATTGTTATTATGATTGGAGAGCCGATCTGGTATCTGTGAACTTTTGCAGATGCCTGAATAGTGAGTGAGGTAGAGAGGGGAGATATATTTGAGTGTGTGGTGCCGGGGAGAGAAAGAGACACTTTCTGTGTTCTTCCCAGCTTGTCTTCAAACGCACCATGCTATCCACACACGGTGAGGAGAATTATCTCAACTGTTTTTAAGTTTTAAAGTGCCAGCGAACAGAAAGAACAAACCAAATCACTTTCTTTTCAAGGATATCTGAGAAATCTGGCCACACCTCATTTTTAAAAGCATAACATGTGAGTGACCAGGACAGAATTCTTTCCCTGGATTCCCTGAGAGAATGTCTCACTAAATAATGTCTCGGCCGTGACTCATCGGCTCAGGATCCGACCCGTAAGCCACTGGCCACATTTCTATTTTTAAGAGTCACTAGGAAAAATTGGAAATAATTTTAGAAAGTAAAGAAAATACTGTTTGGCCTTTCTTTCATTTTCTTTTCATTTGGGGAGGGAGAGTAGAAAGGGGGAAGAGATTACATGTGTTTGATTCATGTAAAGCCAAGTTCTGGAAATAGAGCTAACGCAGGAGAACTCTTTCCTAAGTGGTAAGAACAGTCCTAATTCCCACAGTTTAGGTTATCTGGTCTATTTCAAGGTTTTGGTGTGGGAGGTTTGGTGTTAACAGCATGATATGATCTGTGATATACTTAGGGTTCCCTAAATGTGAATGTAGAAACATTGAAATAATTTATTTTATTGCATTTGACTTTACTAAATATAGCCCTTGAGTCATGTATAAAATCTCATTGTTCTAATATTAAACAAATGCTGAGTTGATTGCCAAGCGTAATTAACATGTCACGAACATGTGGCACCTGTATATGATAGAATCAGAGTTAACAACAGCTCTCGGATTGTGTGCACCTGATGTTTGGAAGGCTTCTTCAAGCTCAAAGTTCAACGGCATTTAAAGTTTCAACAGTTCACTGCTTCGATTTTTGTTTACTTTCGTTTCCCCTGGGCAGAACTCTCTAATCTGGGCTTAAGTTTTTATACTGTACTTGTGAGAGGTGCTCAAATTACCTACTCCAATAACAGCGTCCTCTTCATATGGGAAATTTGAAAAGTGCCTCTGCCCACTCTATCCAGAATTTCCTCTGTTGTACATTTATCCTGCTGAGACAGGAAACACAATTATTGTTTGGAATTAAGCTAGACCCTTGAGGAACATGGAGTTCTGCTTATGGTTTCCCCAACCCCCGCCCCCGTCATCAGATATGGGTGTTGTGTCATCAGAATTAAATAAAAGTGGATAATGTAGCTACAAATAGCTATAGGGAAGGAAAAATCTATCTGCAAGATTTTTATTACTTGTGCCGAAATAAAATAGTTCTCTGAACATTTGCTGACTGTTTACAAGAGAAAATAATTATTTCTGGCTTGTAAGTCTGGCAGGCCATCACAGAAGAGGGTACAAACTATTTCCACATATTTTTATTCCATCAGTTTCTCTATGATTATTCATTGACTATTTTAACTGATGATACAATTCGGAAACAGAGTTTAAAGTATTTTTCTAGGAATCAAAATTTATCTACGTTTTTAAATTTTTTATTTGTTTATTTTTTTGAGGCAGTGTCTCACTCTGTCGCCCAGGCTGGAGTGTAGTGGCGTGATCTCGGCTCACTGCAACCTCCACCTCACAGGTTCAAGCGATTCTCCTGCCTCAGTCTCCCGAGTAGCTGGGATTACAGGCACATGCCACCATGCTCGGCTAGTTTTTGTATTTTAGTAGAGACAGGGTTTTGCCATGTTTGGCAGCCTGGTCTTGAACTCCTGACCTCAGGTGATCTGCTTGTCTTGGCCTCCCAAAGTGCTGGGATTACAGTCGTGAGCCCTCGCACCCAGTCTTGCATCTTTGGATAATCAAATACTAGCTCTTCAGAAATGACTTCCACAAAAACCCCCTATGAAATACTGCCAGAGCCCTCACCTCCCATATAGCTCCATTTTCTTGTCCTGTTCACTTTCTTCAAAGCATTAATCACTATGAAGTATTATATTAATATGTGTACTATTTACTAGCTTATATACCTCTGGGACAGTGCTACCCAATAGAAATATAATGCAAGTCACATAGGAAATTTAACATTTTCTAGGAGTCATATTAAGAAGGTAAAAAGAGGCAGGGTGTGGTGACTCATGCCTGTGATCCCAGTACTTTGGGAGGCCGAGGCAGGCAGATTGCTTGAGCTCAGGAGTTCGAGACCAGCCTGGGCAACATGGTGAAACTCCATCTCTACTAAAAATGCCAGAGTGATAACAGCTGGGCATGGTGGTACACACTTGTAGTCCCAGCTACTCAGGAGGCTAAGGTGGGAGGATTGCTTGATCTCAGGGAGGTCAAGGCTGCAATGAGCTGTGATCATACCACTGCACTCCAGCCTGGGTGATAGAGTGAGACTTCGTCTCAAAAAAAGAAGGTAAAAAGAAAATGAATGTTATTATATTCAGTATAATAGTTCATTTCATTAAACGTAGTATGTCCATAATATTATCCCTTTAACATGTAATCAACATAAAATAATTAATTTTTTAATTTTTTGAGACAGAGTCTTGCTCTGTTGCCCAGGCTGGAGTGCAGTGACACAATCTTGGCTCACTGCAACTTCTGCCTCCCAAGTTCAAGTGATTCTCCTGCCTCAGCCTCCTGAGTAGCTGGATTACAGGCACTTGCCACCAGGCCCAGCTAATTTTTGTATTTTTAGTAGAGACGGGGTTTCACCATGTTGGTCAGACTGTGCTTGAATACCTGATCTCACGATCCACCTGCCTCAGCCTTCCAAAGTGCTGGGATTACACGTGTGAGCCACCGCGCCTGGCAAAATAATTGTTAATGAGATATTCATTTTTATCCATTTATTTCATTCATTTATATTCATTTTTCGCACCAAGTTTTTGAAATCCAGTGTGTGTTTTACAGCACATTTCAGTCCCGACCAGCCCCATTTCCGGTGCCCAGTGGCCCCTCGAGGCCTGTGGCTCCCATGCTGGCCTGCGTGGCTCTCATCTGCAAGCTCCAGGTCGTCAGCTACTTTGTTTTGTTCACTAGAGCACTGACGCACACGCACTAAAGACACAGCAAATAGTCAGCAAAGTAGCAAATGAATGTTAAAATTCTAAAGACCACAACTATTTAGCCAAAGGTCTGTGTATTCGATGCCTTCCAGCATGTGGCAATGACTCTAGTTTTCTCCTTTTCCTGATGTTTCCCTCTTGCTCACCGCTCTAAGAATATCAAAATGCATGGAATGTCACTATGATAATTTATTTTGTCATTGAACTAGTTTTTTTGGGAAAAGCCAGATACCATATCCTGTGGTGACTCTCTGCCCACACACTCCTCTGAATGGATTCATTAAAGTTCCATTCTTGAATCTTTTTTTCCTCTTGGCTCTATGCTCCATCCCTTTAATCAATTCTTGAGCTGCTTAATTAGCAATGGTTCAAAACATTTTTTAAAAGATCAGGCATCCCTTGATATTTTGCCAGCTCCTCCTTCCTTTCATCAGTCCAATAAACAAAAATGCATTTGGCACCTTCTTTGTGCCAGATTCTATTGAAGTAGGAACTACAGATATACCTTAGGGTAGCTTAGACCCCAGCCCTCTCCCTCAGTCCAGTGGGGAGAAAGTCAGTCATTATGATGAGGATCAGGAGAGGCTGGTGGTATAGACATGAGCTCTGGTGGTGGACAATGGAGGTTCAAATCCTGGTGCTGCCACTTACAGCTATATGGGCTTGAGCCTGTCACAGTATATCTCTAGGCCTTAGTTTTTCCATCTGTAAAATGGAGATAATAATAGTATGTACATGTATTAGTTTATTTTTATACTGCTATGAAGAAATAACAGAGACTGGGTAATTTATAAAGAAAAAGAGGTTTAGGGCCGAGTGTTGTGGCTCACGCCTGTAATGCCAGCACTTTGGGAGGCGGAGGTGGGTGGATCACCTGAGGTCTGGAGATTGAGACCAGCCTGGCCAACATGGTGAAACCCCAACTAAAAATCTGTACTGAAAATACAAAAAATTGATCAGTCATGGTGAAAGGCGCTTGTAATCCCAGCTCCTCAGGAGGCTGAGGTGGAAGAATCACTTGAACCAGGGAAGTGGAGGTTGCAGTGAGCTGAGATCGTGCCATTGCACTCTAGCCTGGGCAACAATAACAAAAACTCTGTCTCCAAAAAGAAAAAGAAAAAGAGCTTTAATGGACTCACAACCTTCATGTGGCTGGGGAGGCCTCACAATCATGGTGGAGGGCAAAGGAAGGCAAAGGCACATTTTACATGGCAACAGACAAGAGACCTGTGCATGGGAACTGCCCTTTATAAAACCATCAGATCTTGTGAGACTTACTATCACGAGAACAGCATGGGAAAAACCCACTCCCCGATTTAATTACCTCCCACCAAGTCCCTCCCATGACACATGGGGATTATGGGAGCTACAATTCAAGATAAGATTTGGGTGGGGATACAGCCAAACCATATCAGTACCTCATAGTGTTGTTGTGAGGAATAAATTATACATTTGTGTTCTGTGGTGAGCAGATCTACACAAACCTACCGCAAAAGTCCTAAGAAGTTGAAAGGCCAAAGAAAGTAGCCGACACATTGATTTTCCTAGAAAGAAACATTTAGGGACTTACAAATGGAAAACATGTTTGTGTCTTGGGAGGTGGCGAGACAAGATGGTGGATCCTTGTATCGTTATCTCCCAGACCCAGAACTTCTATGCCACAGGGAAAGATGACTCCAGAGGGTTGTTTAGGACAATTGAGGTGCAGTAACATCTAGATTGTTTGACCTGAGAGCAGAATTGACAGTAACTACCTGCTCTTACACGGGAACAGTAAATAAACTGGCAATCTTAGAGGTCTTCTGGGGAACTAGGGTTAATCAGAAGCCAACATGGCAGATTAGCTTCCAAGACAGGGCTGCTTTGGCCTCCAAAAATATAAATCAGTGCCTCCAACACCGCGAGGTACTGATACGGTTTGGCTGTGTCCTCACCCAAATCTCACCTTGAATTGTAGCTCCCATAATCCCCATGGATTTTTAATTTTTATACATGCAGGCAGGACAAGTGCAGTTTTGTTACATAGTCATGTTGTTCATGGTTGAGTCTGGGCTTTCAGTGCAGCCATCATGCAAATAGTGTATGTTGCACCCACAGACTTCATCTTTCCAGACTGAAGTGTTTTCAGTTTGTTTGTTGGTTTGTTTTTGAGATGGAGTCTTGCTCTGTCTCCAGGCTGGAGTGCAGTGGTGCCATCTCAGCTCACTGCAACCTTTTACTTCCTGGTTCAAGTGATTCTCCTGACTCAGCCTCCCC